ACCCTTCAGCTGGATGACTTATTACCCTTCCGTGTTCTGAGCAATCTCCAGATTGAGACGAGTGGTGGATGGGATTGCCTACATGAGGGAAATAGGACATTGTTGGATCTGCTTGGTGCAGAGGAGGGCTTAACTGCCCACTGACATCCAGACTTGTCAAAGCAGAAGGGGACAGGATGCTTGCACAGGGCTTGGTCAGAATGTAACAGGGTGGTCCCCAGGAAAGGGGGAGGTTCCAGGTTTCCTGCCCCACCCAAATGGAAGGTGGAGCTGAGCAGGGAGAGAGAGAAGCTGCAGAGGAGACTGAGGAAGGAAGGAAGCAGGATGGAGATCAAGAAGGAGACCTGGAGGAGGCAAGTGGAGCTGAGAGACACGTGAAGAAACTGCGCTTCCCTTTTGGTCGTGGACTGGGTGACACGGATGTGGGTGAGACCCGAGGGGAGGTGACAATGGCAACTTTTATCTTGATTTTGATTTTGCTCTTTTCCTTCCGGGCTTGTCTGGTTGTTTCTGACCCTTTTCTGTGGGTCCCCACTGGAAGATGCTTTGGACTTGTGGCAGGCTTTGGGGCCTTGCTCTGGGCCAATCCCATTTGGATGGAGTTTTACCCACGAGGGGACGGGTAACTTTGGGTGCTTCATTTAGAAACTAGATTCTTTGCCTTTCCTGTCTTGTTTCCTAGTTGTACTAAAGTTCCTTCCCATTAAAGTCTCATATGTTTTGTGTTGATGCGGCGGATGGAAGAACCCATTTAGAATAGGCAGGTTTGCGGGGTTTGGGCTGCCCCTCTCCCTGCCCTGTAACAAGAACTCCATCCTGGACATCCTGAGCACCAGGGTTTCGGGAAAGCGGGCAGAGCTGAGTGGTCATTTGTGAGCCTTTCAAAGGGAGTAAGGCACATGGGCTCTCTCTTTCATTGGAGCTGCAGTGAAAGGCAGCCACCCTACTAGGCAGTGGACCTTTGCGGGTGCCCCAGCCACAGATGGGAGAAAACCCTGACCTCAGCAGCAGCAGGTTTCTGCCCTGCCATCCCTCCACCACAACCAGCTCCTGCAGCTACAACTCCACCTTGCACCAATAGGTAACTGGACCTTGTCCCTCTCCTTCTACCCTGTTGGTTAGAATGAATTGTCTTTTTCTCTTGCTGCATCGGAGGCCTTTTTGTTTGCTTTGGTGACGCTAGGTAAAAACCATTGAGAAAGGATCTGGGTCAATGGTAGTTTTTAGAACCTTTACCCTGGTAACATTATGTCCAGTTCCCCAACCACTTCATTTTACCAAGAACCCGTATATGCTTTATATAAAGATATTGATGTGATAAATTCATGTACATAAAGGCTAAAAAAAGAAATGAAAAAAAGGTAACATGAAAAATACTGGCCTCTGAAAATGTACATTGTAGAAACAAGATTGATCTAAGAAATATAAAGGTCTGAAGATCTGATGATATTACCAGTATTAAGGTTAGACAACCTTTAACTAATATAAAAGTCTTTTTAAAATTATTATCTTTTCCTTGTAAATACTGGTGCTGGTCACTTGCAGCAAAAAGTTTTTCTGAATTGCCAGAATGACTTCATTTCAGTCAACCCCCAAGGGCATTACTAAAGACATTAGGGAACTAATTAGGGGTTAAACAAGGTCATAAAAGGATTCTTTATTGTAATGCATCTCAGGTTCCTTAATATTATATGCACTGAATGGCCATAAAATGCAAGAATTCCCCAAATGTATTTGATCAAGGATCTTTCCATGGAGACTATCAATTAACATCCCAAACTAGTTTTCCCAAGAAGAAAAGTTTGGGAAATACTCTTCTCCTGGTTCTCAATGCATGGTTTATCAGTTTTATCCATGAATTTATTTCAAATGCAATATATTGGGCCCAACACCAGATCTACAGAATAAAACCCAACTGTTTGTGTTTAAAATGCCCTGGGGGTTATTGTGACTCATTCTAAAGTTCCTGAAGCTCTGGTCCAGTCTTAGCCACCACCACTTCTTACTAACAGCACAGCAAACTCCTAAATGGTCTACTGTGTCCACCTGTTCCTCTCCATTCTCCACACAGCAGCCAATTATAAAACATCATGTCCCAACTCAGCCTAACCTTCCGATGCTTCCACTGTACCCAGAATAAGCCCAAATGCCTTATCCCTCCCTTTCCTGATCCAGTCCCCTGCCTACCTCTCTCTTCGTACTTTGTATTATTCTCTCCCTTGTTTATAACCTCCCAGTTTATAACCTACTTCTTTATATTTCTGGAAAACTGGAAGATGGCGCCTACCTCAGGTCCCTTCTGTGCCCTTGGCCTGGAATGCTTATCCTCATCCCTCCCACCCCCTCATCTCCAGGGCGAGTTCCTTATTGTATTCTGGGTCCCAGTATCAACACCACCTTCAATCACACCCCCACTCCCCCCACTCTGTGTAGGAGCTAGTTCTTTAGTCTTCACTGCAGTTACCATTATCTAAATGATTTTGTTAGTTTGCAAACTTCCTGAGAACAGGAAGCAAGTCTGCTGTGCATAAAGTCCATATTTGTTAGATGAGTAAGTCTGGTGTGTGTGTGTGGCGGCGGGCTCTATTTCAGTAGTTTTACTTATAATTAGACCCAACCTGCTCTTTGTCACTTTCAAAGAACCACCTCCGCCACAGTGTGGTCCCCAGCTTCACAAGACAGGCCCTTTTAGCTACCCACCCTTCTTTAGTTAACTTCTCACTATACCAAGATATTAATGTTTTAATGGCTAAAGGGTAATGCTAGTTTTTTTCTTGATATTAACAAAAATTTTAGTGATCAGATGACTTTTAGAAAAATGTAAATAATAATTCAATAAATACATTCATCTACATGATTTTTCATGACACTCAATAAGGGCATTTTCATTTTAATTAGAAAAAACAGCTTAAAATCATTTTCACTCTATTTTTCTTAAATTCCTCTAAAGAAAAATATTATTTAACATGACCAATTCTAGCAGAACCTCATTCAATAGCAGAAAATAGTATAAAGAACAAGAACTTGTTATGAAACTGACCTGGTTTTTGATATATGTATCAGTATTTATCATTTTGTGATCCTGGTCAAGTTATTTAAATCCTCATAACCCGATTTCCTTATCCATAGAACTTGGATCACAATAAATTACAACAGCGTAATGTGGAAAATTAAATGGGAAAACATTTTTGAAAAAGGACTAGTAATGATTTCAATAACTTGGGGGTGTTAATTCATATCATGTGTCCTGCTAATCACTTAATTTTATTTTTTTAAAGATTTATTTATTTATGCATATAAGAACTAGGGTACAGGGCAGAGATGTGGGGGGTGAGAGGATTCACCAGAGACACACTGGGGAGCAGAACAGGCGGATCTATTGAAATACACCGCTAAGGCAAGCAGCGGGCGGTCAGGAGAGTGCTGCTGCACCATGTGGGTAGCTCCCTGGCTGGGGATTGAACTCAGACTGTAGTGGCTGTAGATAGCTTCATAGGCTGCGTAGATAGCTTCATAGGCCGCGTCTTAACCCTTGTGCCACCAGGGAGACCCCGTGCTAAGCATTTTAAACATGCTATTTAATTTTTGTTTACTATACATAGCATGATTCCCATTTTCATAGAAATTGGGACCGAGGAATTGAGTAAATTTGCCCAAGGTCAGAAAGCTGTAAGCCTCAGCACTGGGTTTTCAGTTAGACTGACCCTGACTCAAAGGCTCATAACTACCCTCGCTTATGAAATGCTAGGGAAATGCTGATTAAAGTTTCCATCAATGCTGGGTGTCCTATAAATGTAAGTTTACCCTTTCCCATAACTGTCCAGTGGTGCCCCATCATTTTTTTTTCCTGCATCACCATGAGGTACAGATAACCATTTGCCACACTCTGTTTCACTGAACATACAAGTTTAACCTCTTGGTGCAAAATATCCCAGTCATCTGAGAGATAATAAGAATTACTCCAACTTGAAGGAGAACCTGTAACAGGACCTGCTGGACCTGTACCTCACTTGCCTGACCATCTGGCTACTGAGTTCCCAGGCTAGTAGGAACCAGCCTATTATAGCCTACAGCCACCAGTGAAAACAGACCTTCTATCCTGCAGAGGCCTTCGGCTTTCCAGCGATGGCTCCAGTACTAGCTGAAACCTGATGATCTATCAGAAGCAAAGCATCCGCTTTGGAGATCAGTTTTAGATGATGACTGTGCTCAGACAACTTCTAAATCTCTGTTAAACAAAATCATTACCTTCCATATCAATTTAGCAATATCCATTACCTACACTAAAAGGCAAAGATCATGCAGATTCCCCAGGAGTGCAATTTAGGAAGAAATACTTGACTGAACTTCATTATTACCAGCCCAGAAGACAAAGCTAAACACAGTTGCTAAAAACTGTGTATTTTGCTGATGGAAGATGCTATCAAATAATGTGGGATGACAGGAACACTTTCTGTAAGTGTTATAGGCAAAGGAAGGCAAGTGAGATGCAACTTTGGATACAACTGAAGGTAGGGCAACAAGTTGTGAATTGACTCGAGTTAAATTATGAGTTGAAGATGTACACAATATGGACCTAAATAATTGTATTTACAAAGAGCCTGTGGTAGTTCAGTCTGCGGAGCACTGACACAGGTGCATAACAACACTCTCACAGCTAACTCTGAGAACAATGGCAAGATGATATGCTCGATTTTATAAAGTTTTAAGTCTATCTGCATTTATAAAAATGTTATCAAAAATAATTATGTGCGAGTAAGAAGCTTGCTTTTGATGTAGAAAACTTGGTCATGAAGAGAAAAAGAATTCAATTTCTAATCAGCATTGTAAAATTTGTCCATTCACATTAAAGAAAAAGGAGTTACTGGAAATAAAGAAGAACATATCTGACAGACTGCAACATATAAAAACACTGGAATGCATTTTTAAATGTTTCTTGGTTTTTGAACAAAGTAGAATTCTAATACGATTTTTTGGGGTAAAATTTCTTGATTTCTTACCTTGCCGTACTTCTGGGCATAAGACCCTGTAAGCAGTGAATGAAATACAATGATGGTTTCATCCAAGTCCCAGACAAACACACGCTGAAGACAAGAGATAAATACCAAAGAGTTAACAAGTTCTAAGAAAACAAATCTCTTTACAAGTAGAAAACATGTCTTAATGCCATTTTGGATGTAATATTGATACTATTTTGTAAAAAATCATGCGACTTCATTTTTTTTCAAATTTGCTAGATTGAACTATTGTAAAACTTCAGGATCCTCTGCAGCCTATGTCCTCTGCAGTTATCCATGCTGTCTGCTTGCTTCCTAGCTCAGTTTACTCATATAACCTGCTGGGTCCTTGAAAGCATTTGAATCTGCTGCTTTTCAGGAAAAAAAAAAAAAAAAAGTTCTCTTACAAAGAGGCATAAACTATCACTTTACTAAATCTGGAAATTTAACATTTTTTCTTAATTGAAGTATGCAGTTGTATAAAAGTAAAGTATTATAGCTAAGCATAATTTCTCCTGATGTTTTGTTAAAAAAAAAAAATCAACCTACTTAGTATAGATATGTCTCAAAAGAACAGACCACCAGAAAAAAATAACATGGAAATTTTCATAGACATAAACATTTTACTGTATAGGACTTAAACTTTTCATGTTTTTCATAAAACTTTTCTTTCCATACAGATTAATTTTATCCCTTTTTGTTAACCCACATAAACATCTTTTTTTACTTCAGCAAAGTACAAACACTGGGTTTCTAAGAAATTTAACCCACAAATAATAGCATTTTTAAATAAAATTTTTGTTTTTGTCAAATTGGAAAAAATATGCAATTATCTTAGAGCTAGAATTTATAAAGCATTCTCATTTTTACTGTACTGTTTCAACTTTGTGATAAAGGATGACATCTCAAACTGAAGAGTTGTGAAATGCCTACTTCTAATTAAGTTCATAGAATTCACAATACATCCTTTTTTTTTTTTTTTTTAAAGCTTGAAACTGTAAGGAACTGTACAATACATCTCATCCAGTAAGATAAAACATCACATTACATCTCTTTAAGGATAAGCTGACATACCTCAAGATCACTGTCTGGGGGTGGGGAGGGATTATTTTTCCGGCCTCTTCCTCTAGATTTTGACCCAGAACTCCTACACGTTCTCTCATCAAGGTCTTTGATGGGTGTGGAGGGGCTCTGCACAGTATCAAACTCTCCTGTAAATATCAAGTCTAAATGAGTCTTTAGATCAGGTTTAGATGAAGCTTTATCATTAATTAAAAAATTCTTATATAGAACAAAGCTCCTTATCACACAGAGTTATAATCCCAAACACACAAAATTCTAAGTTAGTCAGAAATGATGTAGGTCACACAATTGCCTCCTCATGTCAATCCATGTGATCTATTAAACATGAATGTCTTTGATATTCCACATGCTTTCAACTTCCCGCCTTTATCCCCACCTACATATTTATCTAAATTTAGTTATTCTCACCTCTTTTCATCATAGCTCAAAGGATGAAATGTCTGCTGGATGAATCCTACCCCTCCACTCACAAACCTCGCTCCCTACCTTCCCCTGTTAAGGACTCATATTCCATTAGTCAAACCATCTCTTCCCTTCCCTTCCCTCCAGACTCTCCCTTTTCTGGGACCCACAGACATATTAAAAAGTCCTTCTCTTTGACCTTGTACTTTCATCTAAAGCTATCTGTTTGCTGTCACCTCTTTTAAAATGAAAATTCTTAAAAGCATAGTGCATAATCAATGTTGTCCCAAAGGAGTATAATGCTAGCCACAAATTTGTCTACCTATATACTTTAAAATTGTTCAGAAGCAGCATTTAAAAAGTAAAAAGAACCATGTAAAATTAATTTTTCTCATATGTTGATGGACCTAATATCTCAAAAGTATTATGTTTTCAGTACAGTATGGATCCAATACAGAAATTATCAGTGATATCGCTTCCACATGAACACTTTGAAATCTTGCATTTAACTCAGCAGATCTCAGTCTGCACTGGAGACATGGTAAGTGCTCCAGTCTTGCCTCTGTCTTGCCAGAGTTTCTTCGTCTCAGGACATAGACTCTTCCCCCACCCCCCCATTCTTATAGTGCTGGCATTTAAGAGTCCTTTACCTTCCTTTACCACTGTCACTGTTACTCCACTCCACCTGGGAGATCCAAGCCTCTCCTAGGTTAATCACCCTCTGTGATGATGCACACATAAGCCTCTGTCTGCAACCAGGCTACACCCAAAGTTTCAATTGCTGCATCTAGTTGACTTCCGCATGTCCCACAGATAACTGTAGTCTGACATGTTTAAAGCTAATGGCAGCGCTTCTTAGGGGCGAGGGGATACTTAGTCGTGAAGTAGTGCAGGGTGAGTCTCAGGTAGTTGGACAGGTGATTTGATTGTTTTAATACCTGGAAACTGTTCCATAATGACTAGAAATACCTGAGATGAGGTGCTGTAAAATCTCACAAGTAACGGTTGCCAGAGACTTGAAATGCCTTCAAGCATTTCACTCAGTCCATCTTAATCTGTTTCATCGTCTATGAAAGCACAGGTAATTGCAGCTACTTTTTTGAATTACTGACATAAATCTGATTTATATTTAATTGGTTTTAAGTCATATATATGAAGTAAACATTTCTAGGAGAATATGATGGAAAACTACACTACATTTAAGTTATGCTCTTGAAATTATGTTTAAGGTATGTTTAAAATTATGTTGAAAGCTAACTTTTAAACATAAACATGACATTACTTTTATGCTTTGTCATCGAATTAAATAATTTCAAGGACAGGCAAACAGTTATTACTACAAATAAACAAATCTGAACAAAAGCGGCGGCACATTTTTTTTTTTTTAACTGGGATGTTCTAAATACTGTAAATAGTAATATTTACATAACTAACCTCTAATCATTTCTATTGGAAACATTGTGCATGTCAGGATGAGGTCACAAAAAAAAATCTTTGTTCCAATATTTTTTTTAAAGATTTTTTTTTTTTTAATTTATACAATAGCTGGGGTACAGGCCAGAGGCATGGGAGAGTGAGAGGATTCACCAGAGACAGAGTGGGGAGCAGAGAAGGCAGACAGACCAAAAGCACTGCTGAGGGGAGCTGCAGGCACAACAGGAGAGGTCTGCTGGGCCTGCACTGCAGAGACTGCAGACAGCTTCTCAGCGCTGTGCTCAATCCCCTACGCCACCACCAAGGAGGCCCTGCTCAATATTTTTATCCTTTGAGCACTGCCAGCACAGTTTGCTACATGGGCCTGAGCTACTGGCTGTGTAGTCAGAGCAGACAGCACCATAAAAATTCTTCAGTTATAGGGTTGAATATGCCCATGCCTTCGAGTAAATACGTACTTCAGTTTACTCATAAAGGCATATTATATAAGCTTTTAGGTATTTAACACTGATTTTTGAAAAATATGCACAATTTTTTCTATTTTTAAAACAGAATTCTCCTAAGCTTACTAGATCTTGCAAACCAAATGTTCTCTTTCAAATAAAATGTCGATTCAAATTAACCCTCACTTGGGGGGTGGGGAGGGGAGGAATTGGGGTCAAAATAAGGGGGCTGCAATTGTATGGAGAATATAAAAATAAAATTTATTTAAAAAAAAAAGAAAGAGAGCAACTTGGAACCCATTTGTTGCTGTTGGAACAGGTGCCTTTCTTGGGTTGAGGAGAGAGGAAATAAAGGGGGAAAGCATATGATGGGGCATAAGGCAGTAACAGTGCTCTCCTAAGGATCTTCATTATTGGGATATTTGCACTCGTTGAGAATAGGGTCCTAAGATTTTATGGCCAGAGTAGAACACAATGTTAAACTTTCTAAGGCAAAACTGATCCCCCAAATCCAACAATACCACAGTTAATTGTAAGGACAATGTAATAAACTCTCTGAAAGTGGGAAAAAAAACAAAACAAAACAAAACAAATTAACCCTCACTTATTCAGCACACTTTTAAAAGTTTTGGATGACATGCTATAAAATCTGTATTTCTAGTCATTATGGAGCAGTTTTCAGGTATTAAAACCATCAAATCATAAAGCAGTTTTGTTCTTACAATAGTGTAAGAACTGAAAGCAGGTAACTGGGGTGCATTAATGCTGCAGGTTGGGAAAACATAACTGGCAGACAAGTACAATGTGGCCAGTACTTTCTATCTAAATTTTACTGTCAGTAATTTAATTAGGTAAGTTAGTATTTTGCTACCATTTCTATTCTTATGTGAAATGCCATGAATTTAAGAAAAGTGTTCTGCCTAAGAAACTGGCTTCTTTTCAGAGGGAAGGGATCTTTACATTTTTTCCTTTCTGGAGCACTAGTAAAGTTTAATTAGCTAATATCATGCAAAGTTTATCAAGGTTCCAGGGTAAAGGATAATATTCTTACAAATTACTAATTATATTTAATTGTAAGGATGTTTTAAATATTTAAGAAGTGGTGCTATAAATATATCTCCAATCTTACTGTGTTAATCAATCCTCAAACTTTCTGAATGCAAATCAAAAATTGAATATGCCTAAGATAAACTTTAGGAAAGGCAAAGAGAGATCTTTATAAAGATAACTAATTAAAAAACTGTTTTTAATCAGCATGGTAATATTTCATTAAAGCCATTGTCAAACTACCTAATAACGTAAATAGCTGTATGTTATTTGCAGTTTCCAAATAACATCAGTCATTACTAATTGCCCTAGGCTTTTTCTTGGGCCAACACTATACATGATTGAATAATTATACTTTAATCAGCATAGTAATGAATAACTGCAACTTCTAAGTTTGGATATTTAGCTCCAACTTTATTTCATTAGGTTTATCTCTAAATCAGAATAACCAGCTGTCATTTGTAGAACATAAAATAAGTTTCTGTTTTAAAAATGGAAGAAGTCAACAGTGAATGGTTTAAGAAAAACTGTGGATTTCATAGTTAGTTGTCTGCCTTAAGTCCAAAGCACAGAGCTGACTGGGGGAAAACACTTTTCATGCTCTTGAACTACCTCAGATTTCACTAACAGTAGAGAATAATCCCATAGTTAAAAAGTTGTTTACTTTCTGAATGCATGCTAGATCTGAAGAGGCAAAACCAAACTTAACACTACCTTGAAAGTGGTAATGGATTCCTCAAAGATCCAGACATGTGTATTGTTATGATTTTGGTTGAGAGAACAAAACAGTCACAAGTAGAAATAATTTCTTCTTTAAATCCAACAGAAAGTCTGATATAATTTGGAAATTATATGAAACTGTATTTGTTGGCTTTAACAACCAATAGAAGGCTGAAGAAATTGCAGCCTTCTGATAGTGAACATAAGAATACTACATATGAATGTGTCACACTGAAAGTCACACACTCAGAATACCCAATGTCTGCATTTAGTATTTATAATGTAAATAAAAGCTATTTTGATTACTGCATATTGGTTATTCTTCAGTTAGCAGACATATCCATCTATGTCTTTACAGCAGATAAATTTGTGTTCATATTGAAATTAGAACAAAATCAACCTTTTAGTTGTAGTCAACATTTAGCATATTTGAGTATACAAATGATTTTTATTCATAGTAGTTATATTCTAGCAAATTCAAAACTACTCTGCTATTCCTCTCTATTGTTCAGTCTCTGATACCTTTATGATAAATCACTTCTGTGGTATTGTTTTTGAATACAGTTATCCTATCTTATTTTCCTCATGCATTCACCAATGAGAAGAACCTATCACAATGTGATAAAGATGTCAAATATCCTCTATCTAAAGTGTCTCCTGTACTTGTTAAGCAAGGATTCAAAAGCTGCTCTTCTTTAAATTAAGGAAAGACCATTAATGAAAGGCTGGGATGAGGTCAGGGGAGAAAGGTGTCTAGGACACAAAAGTTAAGGGGCCTGAGAAGGAATGCTTGCTTAAATATCGCGTGACTGGTGCTGCATAGGAAACAGCTGCTCAGAGAGGCCGAGGCTAGATGGAAAACCTAAGCAGGAAGCCTTAAGGGGACAAGAACCAGAAATTCAAAGGGAATGTGGGCTCAAAGGAAATATTATCAATTATACCCAAAGAAGATAATATCACAACTTTTCTATATTGTCAGGATCTTGAAAACATAATTAGCTTGGCCAAAGTTTCATTGACCTTTTCATAATATATATTTATATGTTCACTGACATTTTGAGAGATTAAAATATAACTGTCCCACATATAAGAGAAGGGTTTTCTGAAATGCCAAAAGAAGAGTCACAATTATGCAGGAGTGCTAACGCATATTAAACATCATCATAATTATCCAGGAGCTTTTTGTCTTAGTTTTAAGATGTCATTTTCTCCAGATTATTAGACAGCAAAACAGATAAAAAATATTTCACCTGGATGAAGATCTGTACCTGGTTGGCTAGTCAGTGCTGGGAGAGACTCCTGCAGCTGATAGGTTGATGTCGAGGAAGATGTGCCATCAGCTGTGTTATTTGATGTCATATATGCTCCATAAGTTGATGCTGAGTAATACTGTGCATACTGGTTTTGGCCAAAGGCTGTATAGGATGGATAATCCTAGAACAGTAATTGAGATGTGTTTGAAAGAGAAATTACCATCCGTTATGATCCAAAGAAAAGTATTCACTGTGGCAATGGAAATGTTAGTATTTGGCTCCATTTGTTTTGGAGTCCACAGCTTTCAGGTGATCTTAATGAGTAAAGGATATTTTGTGGCCATCTTCTACATGGCCCAGGTAATAATGAACTAACTACCCTGCTGGTTTTGTGAAGCAGGTACACAAATTTTAATCTGTCTACACGTTGGATATGCTTCACTCTAATAATGATTTACTCAAGGATTTACATCATTAGGCCTTATGAATTTAAGACAAAAGGAGACAGAATGAGTTAAGGTTCACATCATCAGTTATACAACTTCTAGCCCTCCTGCGTCCATGCATGATTGTGATTTCTGTTTCCTTTCGAGGCAAATCTTGATAATTTTGTTTTCTTGGCAAAAGATAGAATAAATAAAAGAAGATGAATAAAAGATTTTTCCCACCCAGTTTCTTATATACCACCAGAGGTCTTGATTTAAGTCCTTGGTGGCTTTTCAAATATTAGTTTGCTTCATTTATTACAGAGAAAAGAAAACATTAGATCAATTCCTCTGACTTGTTATTTATTAAAAAAATTAAGAACCTTAAATTGACCTAAATAGCCCTTCAAACAAGGACTTATTATGGTGTTCAAGATATCTAACATGATTTAGCCAAAATTATCAGCGATGACAAATCACAGATCATCAGGATTAAGGAGAGTAAGAGACTTAAATGCATGAGAAAGGGGGAAAAGATCCACATTTGACGTGGTTTCCAAAAAAAAAGAAAATTTCCTAGATAAGTAAATATGTATTTAAGCAAATATGTATATTATCAGAAAGGATTACATAATATGGCAGAAAACAAAAATTCTATTTTTTGATTTCAAGATCTGATGTTCCCCATGACCACCTGTGAACCAAGAAATAAACTCCTAGCAATATTTGAACAGAAGTTCCTACCAACTTTAAACAATAAACATTAACATAGTGTTCACATGGTGTCAGACACTGTTTTCAAGGCCTCAGATTTATTAATTTAGTTGCCATAACAACCTATGCAGTATTATTATTATTCCCATTTTACACTGAAGCAGTTGATGGCATAGAGTGGTTAGGTAACTTACCTAAGGTCACACAGATAGCAAGTTTCAGAGCTGGAACTGAACCCAGCATGTATGTGAGGAAACTCTCCATTGGACTGCCTAATGTCCTTAGATGAAGTTACTTATTGGAAAGGATCATAGTACTAGCTTCTGGTGAATAGAAAGTCTTTTTAAATCCAAACATTTCAATATCTCCTTTTCATTTCCACAACTGTCACCCTTGTCCAAGTAACCTTCACTTCTTATTTCAGCCAATGGACAGATTTTGTAATTTGTCTCCTTATTACCAACTTTGGCTTTTTTATAAATCCCCTGAAGTCAAAGTAACCTTTTCAAAACATAAATTATATGATATATTTTCTTGCTCAAAAGCCATTAAATAGCTTTCCATTGGGTTTGTAACAGAAATGAAATTCCTAATTATAAACCATAAGGCCCTTCATAGGCAGGTTACTTCCTATCTCCACGAACATGTTTCCCTACCTGCCCCTTATATACAAATGGAACTCGGTTTTTTTTAGTTCACTGACACCCAAGTTTTTCATCCCTCAAGGGATTTGGTATGCCTGAAATACTCTTGACGTTATTCTTTACCCAACACTTAAAAGACTTGTTGATTTCCATAGTGAGGTCTTCAATGACATCTACCCTATTCAAAATTAGACTTCTAGTAAAATTTTTAACAGGATCCCAATCTCTCCCCTCAGGATTTTCTAATTCTATATTTACTTATGTGGTGTTGGTCTGCTTCTCTCAGATGCAATAAACACCATGAGACAGAGATCAGTCCCCATACACCCCTGGGTCCTCAGCATGCAGACCAATTCCTAACAGATAATAGACATTCAGGAAGAATTTGTTAACATAATAAATTTGTATTCAAACCATGGTCCAAAAGACAAATTATATTTTATATTACATTTAAATATTGAGATAGTACTGGATCCACTTTATGTTACAAATCTGTCTTGGTCAATAAATTTTCCTTTCCTTTATGAATCATTTTGACTCCTCCCAGTACAAGAGGACTCACTCTCTCTGAGGCTACCACTCTGTCTAGTGTATATTTCTATTATTATTTGATACATTCATAATCTCTTATCCTCTGTCCATAACATTTTCATGTCTATTTTCTTCAGGAGGATTTTATCTTCAGGAGAATATATCTGGCATCTTACACACAAGAGAACAGAAACAATGACATTATTGTTGAGTCTTCAGTTCTTAGTCAAAGATATAATGGCAACCTGAAACTACTCTTCAAAAATCTGAAATATATATGGAAAGTATAGATAAATTTAAAAAGCAAAAGCTACTATACCTGTTGTGAACTGCTGAAATTTGTTGAATTGGAAACTGAATTATTTGCATAAATAGTGGATGATGGTGCAAAACTGGAACCTAGAAGTAAAGAATAAATTGCATTTAAAAAGTATTTTCTGGGCCTCCCTCCCCTGGTGGCACAGTGGTTGAGCGCTGGACTGCGAAGCTGCCCGCAGCCTCTGCAGTGCCTGTTCGATCCCCGCGGCCACCGGCGAGGGTCTCATATGGAGCGCAGACCTCTCCTGCCCGCTGCTCCCCTCAGCAGTGTATTTCGGTCCATCTGCCTGTTCTGTTCCTCGCTCTGACTCTGTTGAATTCTCTCACCCTCCCACACTTCTGACTGTACCCAGTGCTTGTAGAAATAAATAAATAAATCTTTTTTTTAAAAAGTATTTTCTATAAAGTAATAGAAACATTACATTTTGTTGAATTCAATAAGTGAAATATATTTTTAATTTTGCTCAGACAGTGAAATTTGAAGTTGAGGATTTGTAAAGAAAGTGTGCTTAGTCTATCTCTCTTGTGACGTGAGATAATGTCTTCCCAATAAAAGCCTGTTTGCTGAGCTGAACAGGAGGACCTGGGAACAGTGCTTTTTAAGGACTGCAGCTAATCTTCAAGGGGTATAAGTATCTAGAAGGGCAAAGGTACTCAAAGAATAAAATATTACACAAACTGGAACTACTTCCAGAGACTACTGGAGATTTTAAATGGCCTTATCAGTTGTATTTACATACAAAAGCCATCTTGAGTCAAATATTTCAATAGGGTAAGTTCTGGAACCAAATGCACCATTTAAAATCCATGCCTGCAGCTCCCAGTCTTTTAATTCTCCTATGTCCTTTCCTTAGAAGGAAAAGAGATAGAACTAAGGTGCAATTATCTAAGATTTGATAGCCTTCTAAAATTTTCCTACAGGGTGAGAGATTTATTTAGATTTATTTGTTTTTAAGTAAGGGAAAAAACATGTGAACAAACGAATTTCCAGATTTTTAAGACTTTATGTTCTCGGACCTCCCTGGTGGCACAAGGGATTAAGATGCAACCTATGAAGCTATCCACAGCCTCTGCAGCACGAGTTCATTCCTTAACCGGGGAGATACTCACATGGCACAGTGAATTTCTGTCAGTCTGCCTGTTCTGTTCCCTACTCTGTCTCTGGTGAATCCTCTCACCCCCCACACCTCTGGCCTGTATCCAAGATCTTGTATACATAAATAAATAAAACTAAAAAAAAAAAAGACTTTATGTTCTCATGGAATCTACTTTTCAAGGAGTAAAATAATATATTTTTTGAGACAGCTGATCATTTATTTTATTGACATTTTAAAAGCAATAGTATTTTAAAATTAACACAAATTGACCTGGTCTGAAATATCTAATATAAAAGTATTTTCAGGAATAAATGAACATGGGTCTTTGGTCTCTTCCACATGGAAGTTATGTGGCTCATGTGGCTGCAGCACAGGAGCAAATATGTTTCTACCTACATTTCAGGTAAAAAGAGCCCTACTATTTCAGCCAATAAGGTATAAGTAAAATTATTTCATTTGAACCACTCACTACAATGTCAATACTAGTCGATTCAAACATGTTAATATAGTTCCACATTTCTAATGATGTTTTTATTATATCATTAGAAGTCTTTCTACAATTACTACATAATAATCAGAGATAATTTCAATAAGAATTAAAAACAAGATGAAAAATTAAATAATAATCATACAGAAATATAGAATAAAAATCATGTACATTTTGGGAGGTACAAATTATATAAATATTCCCTTTAAAAATATAGTTTCCACAGGGAAGGATATTTTTGGAATGAACAAAAAAGCCCCATTCATTCAAAGATAAATAGGATTTAGAAAAGTGTTAATTTAGTTATAAATATAATAAAATTACATTATGTACTTAAGGGACACTGACATGAAAATGATAGTTTAGGTCATGAATCTTAGAAGTCACTTACTTAAATGCCAAACACATAACTGGCATGGTGACTGGTTAAAGGTGGTTTTGCTTGGACCTAGTTTCCTAACAATTTTATGCAACTGAAATGGATGTGTTTAGATTTGGTATGGGTCATGTTTCTTGATGTATCCTCAACTATTTTCATCCACTTCTTCCTAATTATTTGTCTCCCTGGTGAAACTGTGTGAGCAGTGGTAACATTTAAAACTCTCTTCATTACTGTGTATTCCTTCTATCCCTAGTCTGAGGCTTAAGCAGTCTCATTCAAAGAATTCCTTCTCATAATAACATGCTTCCCTTGTGACTACTTACCTGGCATCTGGTAAGAATAAGGTGTCTGGCCTGGCTGTGGGGTAGAGAACCCCGGGCTGTAACTGAGGCACCCACTTTGTAATGGGGACTGAGTTTGTGAAAGTCCACTCTCTGTCTTGATGCCTGGCAACATCACGCCCAAATCTGTTCAGAAAATGCATGTACAAACCACTGAATTAGTTAAAGGATCTTACTTCTGACTTGTGACTTATATAGAACAGACAACTACTAATCAAGCAGGATTGCCTGCCTATAACCAAAGAAGGAGAAGAAAGATGTGAAATACCGTAAGTGGGCAGGCTGTAGGGTTGTCCTGTCTGTGAGTAGGCTGTGTAGACAGCTGGCTGCTGCATCCCCGAATACTGAGTCTGGCCTGCATAGGCAGACATTGTTTGAGCTGCTGGTGTAGAAAGAATGTGTGGATAGGGCCTAAATATCAGAAAAATAGCATTACTGTGGCAACAAAGACTGCATATTAATTCAGACAGCTTAGATTCAGTGAAACCTTAAAATGGCCAGGAAGTAATCCTCTTCTTTATACACAATAAAATTTGAACAGTATAGGAAAGGATAAGAGTCTGAATGTCAGGAGTCCAGGCTCTGCTGCAAATCAGTCTAATAGCCTTAAACAAATAATTTACACCCCCTAAGTCTACGCCTCATCTGTACAGTGGAAAACTTCATTTAGATATTATAGCTACAGCCTCCTCCAGGTCTACACTTCTATTTTACATCTGAGAGTTTTCCAGTTAATATGTAGATGAGGGAAATGGTGCCTAGTCAGTTAATTAAAATGCTCAAGAGCTTATTTCCATTTACCAAGTATGACCTAATGCTATTCAATGAGTACAAAAGTTATCAAGAACCCTACAAGAATTCTCTACCAAGAACTGGAAAACAAAGGGGAAAAGGTAGGTGGGTCACTGCAAAGAAATGGAATGCCATTTCTTCACTATGCAGTATTTTACATAATGTTTCCAAATGATATCTAAGTTCCAGGCTAAACTTAAAGACAGATAGTCCAGTTGCTATAGAACATAACATTTACATGAATCAGGAATCCAAATCTTAACACATCTGGCTGATTGCAATCAAATTCTGATATATACCCATTGTAGCTAAACTTGAAATTTCTTCGATAAGTTGAATAGTTATAAAATCAATACAGCATATTCTCCCAAAAAAGGCTAATGAATTTGAAATCCAACAAAATATTTCAATGATAGAACAAATTATAAAGTGTTGATGTTTGGATAATTTAATCTTTTCCTATGTTCTTTAAACTAGTAAACATTTTTCCATTTCCATTTAAAAATCAGTATATTCTATTTTGTGCTTGATGATTTCCTCAGGGTATGTAAATCTACAGAATTAAGGGAATTGTCCAGACAAAAGTGAGTGGGTCTCTATTTCTAAATTGCATAGGCTATTTATCCAACTAATTTATGCAAATATCTATCAATCAGCTATTTATCTATAATTCATTTATATGCATAAATGTATCCCAATTTATAGTTGTTACAGTGTATGAATAAAAATTAACAAATACAATCCTGGAAAAATATTCTAACAAATCTTAAAGAATCTACTGACCACTTACTTGGAAGGATATAGTTGTGGGGAATATTGATGTGCTGATCTGGGGCTGTAGCCACTACTTGTTATTACTGTAAGACATAAAAAACAGTGCACAAAATGTTGCTTCATAAATATATTTCACTAGGGTATACAAAACTAACTTGAAGAAATCATCATGTTAAAGATATGTTTCTAAAGATTTATTCAGTTTTTTTTAAAGAACATTAATTCATTTTTCTAAGAGAAGCAGATGCTGAAACATTTTCTTTTAATTAAACTGCTTTGAGTTTGTTCTAAGAGCATGAAATTAATATTCTCCTCACAAATCATTCCCCTCCATCATTCTTTCAAATACTCAAATCATTAGCAGGATCTTCTGTATTAACAGGCCATGATTAAATATCTTTGATTCTAAGTAATTAAGCTTTCATGCTATAGAAGTAAATTTTTTAAATTTACATGCTTTAAGTTTTAAATTCCAAATATGATACCCATCTCTTGCTCTTCCTCCATATTTATAACAGGAATATGATAAAAACTAAGAAAAATGTGAAGTTCTAAACTAAGTTCTAAACTAAATGTGAACTTCTAAACTAAGAAAAATGTGAAGTTCTTCATTTTCAAATTTTAAAATGCTACCATTTTTCTACTTCCTTTCTTCCTACTAATCAGATGAGTAGTTATATTTTAGAGTCCAAAAATATTCTAGTAATAATTGGAATACACATAGAAAATCTGGGTGCTACTACAACAATGATAACACAACATTGTAAAGTGAAGCAGTCATATTATTTACAAATATTTTGAACTATCAGAGATAGTACTTGTTTGAGAAGAACTTAAAGGTGAAAGTCAGGTCTTATTAATATTTCATTCAAACATGTAGACCCAAACTGGAATATATCCAAAAGTTTGGAAGTTTCTCTTTCCTATAACCCTCTGCCTTGACTAAGACAGATGTATTGCAAATATATGGACTCTAAAGTGTTGAGGTAGTCCCTTCAGAGCCAATCCATACTGGGCAAACACACAGAGTGTCTTTATTAGGCCATCTGCTGTTCATTCACTTTTCAAAAAGATTAAAGTAGTATACAATGCAGCACTGGAATTAGTTTAGTCTAATCAATCATAGTTATACTTCAAAGTACTATGTCCTTTCTAAGTTGTTCATAATAATTCTGGGGCTAAACTTTTAGAATTGCAAAAGTGACAAATAGGTTTAGGTTGCTAACTATTTTATGAAACATGATATAGTTCTATATCCAAATGCAATTAAGTGCCCTTGTGATCTATTACTTAGTAAACATATAGAATTTAATGTATTTAAAATGTTATTTGGTCTCTAAGCTCTGAGTATGGAATGTCTATTAGCGTTTTCAGAGCAATAATGCAGAAAATCTAGTTTTAAGAATATTATAAATCAATTTTGAAAGTCATTGAACATGAGTAGCGGTGTTTTCTTCTAAATGTTTTCAGTAACCAAAATTTAAGTGAATTTAGTATACAAATATTAAATAAATTGATCAATAAACCATTAACTTTCTATTTGTTTATTAAAAATAAAAAAATGTCTAAAATTTTCAAATCAGCTCATAAGAATAGGCTTTTTTTTTTTTACTGTACCATGAGTTCTAAATGCTTATTATATATAATAGCAACAGTGTTATTCCACAGGAAATTCAGTCTGATTCATTAATTCACAGTAGTGAATACTCTGTTTTAGCATAAAGATACTTAAGTAAGGTTTAATTTCATAGCTTTTTTGTCTCTAATTTATAAAACTTTACTTTGGCATACTCAAAATGTGGACTATACTAATTAATTTATTCTCAAGTGTAGAAAAACAAGGCTTTTCCAAAAAGACACCAAATAATGAAAAGAAACCTTCACTATAGCAGTTTTTATTAAATAAATCAAAAATATTTCAGAAAGAAACCCATGTACATAAAGATAATTCTGAATATAATAGGAGGCATCTATTAAATGAACTTAGATATCACTGAGTGAACTGGACATCATTAGAAGAATGTACCCACAACACATAAAGACTCATCTTTAAATTTTTATAACAATGTTTATATGTTCATTTTATACAAAATAATATAAAACCTTTGGCTCACAAAACTAGATATTCTTAAGAGGGATAAAACATGGAGAGTTTATGCTTCTTAACTCAAATTTATACATTTTGTTATAACTCATAAATCTGTGGCTCACTGAAAAGAAGAAGACTGGGCAAAAGTGAGTTATTATGCTGATCAAAGCAAAGGGGGTTCCTGTGCAGAGTCCACTAATTTCTACTATGACATTTGGAATATTACATACAATTTGGGAGACTGTCATTTTATTCCTCATTGTCATTAAGTAATCATGAGACACTACCCAAACACTCAACTCACTGTACTCCATCATTTCTGCACACAAAAGTAAACAAAACTGCTTTCTTCAAAATGTCCTAAAAAGTAATTAAAACAAATTTCAATGAATGTCATCTGATTCTCTGAGGTTGGAGTTAAGCAGTTTTAAGGGTTTACTATTATTATTTTAGATCAGTTACTGTAGACCAGTGGTTCTCAATGGGGTAGGATGTGGGGGTATGGTAAAGCTGGGTTTGTATTTTGCCTATCAGGAAACATTTTAAAGTCTGGAGACATTTTTGGTTGTTACTTTGGGAGATGCCACTGACATCTTGGGGAAGGGATACTGCTAAATAGCTTATAGTGCAGAAGAACGTTCCCCCATAGTAACAAAAAAACTTGTCAAATTTTTCACCATGCTGCTATGGCATATCCCAGAACCAGATCATTACTGTAACAAAGAACTTGGGCCACACTCTCATAAATGCTTTAAATCTGAGTTGTTCAATACAGTGACCATTAAAGAAGTCAAGCAAAGCTATCAAATACTTGAAATGTGACTAGGGTGACTAGATACAGATTTTTTACTTTTACCAAATTAAATTAGACTTAAACAGTCACATATGACTAGTGGCTACTTTACCAGTGAGTGCAAGCTTACAGGATTCTTAAAAGAAAACTGGGAAATTATTTGTAAAGATACAACGCATGGATTTCAGATAACATACACTGTTATTCCTTTTTCCTTTCTTGTACTTTCCAGTGGTATAAAGAGAATGACTCCTGGGCTGATCAGGACACTGAGTGCTCATTTATGCCAGCTGGGCGATCTGAACTGTATGACCTTAACCACCTTTAATTTCTCTGCCTCAGTATTCTTACTTACAAAATGGATCAGTGACCTCTGAAATTCTTTCTGGAGCTAACATTGTATACTTCTGTCATTCAACTTTCAATTAACTTGTACACTATATATGTCAGCAATTACTCAGTTTCATTCCTTTCCTTAAAGACTGTGTTCATATGCATTTACTTTGCAGAAAGTTTACAAGAGATATCTGGTAAGTGAGTAAGAAGTTATATGATAAGTGAGCTAAAGTGGTACCTATTTATCTTCTGGGAGGCAAGCGAATTGCTAATAAAGGATGTTGATTAGAATGTGTGCATCTCTATACAAATTGTATGAATTATTATTTCTTTCTCTTAGGAGGATTAATGTTTATGTGGCTACATGCAACTGCTTCTAGTCTGTGTGAACTAATGAAATGGGATCATCTGTGTCTATAAAACTCAAATATATGTATGCTATAAAGTCATAATACCTAAGATACAACAACTCTTACATGCAGAAAATCCAATTAAATCCTGTGCATAAGAACATGAATAAATGTAACACGTATTAGGTAGAATCACAGTACCAAGATTTAATTATCACAAATACTTTTCTAGGCTTAATGTTCATTTTGCTGCTATCCAAATCCCACCTCAGGTTTAAAACAGAAATCCTTTCAACAGAAAACAAACCAAACAAAATACTGTAACAACAACAACAAAAATATTTAAGTCAGCTTAATGCATGTCCTTTGTGCCCACCTGGGAGTTATCAGGTATTTATATTTAAAAAGGATTGATGTTTAAAGACATGGTATTGTTGGCTTTGAAGCATCTGAGTGAAAGTACTCTCACAGGCTGGCCCTAATGCAACCAGTATGTGCTCTCCTGCAGCCCATTAACCTTTCATACTTGTCACTCAGCTGCTTACACAGGAGGATTTTTTTTAACCCAGAGAGGAAACAAGGTTATTTAGAAGGAATCAAATGGATAGTTTTACATCTCCAATGTTGGAGAGAAGGCAGTTTTTTATGGCATTTAAATGAGCAAGTTAAAGGAACAAAGTCAATGATTACAACCTAATTATTAAAGACTGTATAAAATAATTACAAAGGAAGCCAGTGCTGCTTTTTTCTAATAAGAAAGCTGGGGGATTCCTTTGCTGTCAAAAGAAAACCCAGCAAAATGATTTCAACTATCATTTCAAGAAATCCATAGCTTTATAATTGGTTCTCAATAAAGATGAATTTATTGCTAGATTTATTTTAAAAATCCAAAGGCTAACAGCTTCGGAATTTAGGGTGCTGGTCCACGAGTGGGATTTGTGGCCCCCAATGTGTATGCGACAACACACGAGCTTACGGCTTTACCTGACCCAGTAAATGTGTCAAGCGCTCCATCTCCAGTCGTGGTTGTGGTTTCACTGCTGTTCAAAGGCTCTGTTTTGACTGCAAGGAGAGACACTATGTAGAAGAATAAGTACATGTGAGTTTTATTTCTAAATTATATCAAAGATGCCAACTGTTCTACTAGTGTTTTTTCTAGCTACTGTGGGCTGGGCATGCAGTAGAAAAATTGAGAAGTTGATGGGGAGAGTTTTGTTACTTTATCTTCTAAGTGGACATGCATTCATAGAGGATTTAATCTAAAAATCCTCTGGCTAAGCTAGTTCTCTTGAACCTGGCTTTTAGAGACAGTCAACCTTCTTGCAAGAAACAGCAAAACACATATTTGCATTTTTAGCTCACCTAAGAACACTCTGATAGTATAGTTAAAGGGACAGGAAAAAGAAATCATCAGTCTTTAACACATTTAATCTAAATCATAACAAAGACATTTACCAGCTTATATTTGTTCTTCCCCAGAAGACATTTTAAAAAAATGACTGTATAAGACAGAGTCCTAGCTTATCCTCCATACAGCAGAGGCATGTGCAAAGACAGAAATCATGGGCTTATTTAGGTGATGTGTGAATAATGAGGCACTACATAAATTATCTGCTTGAAAAATAAGTAAGAACCATAAGGTGTTGGGTTTGTATTTTAATAGCATATCAATTTTTAAAGCATCATAGAGCTAAGCATAGAGTAAAAGAACATTTCTATGGCAGTAAGTATATGCTTTAAAAGCTCTTTAATATGTTATTTCTACGGTGAAGGGCCATATTTTGGGGGGAAATCCTCACTTGGCAATGATGTAGTCTGGGACAAATTACTGTCATTATTACATGCAGTGGGGGGGTGTCAGTGAAAATGCCTCTACCCATTTTGTCACACCATATTTTCTTTTTGTGGGCAAAGTTCTGCTACATATATCATAGCAGCAAGGGGATAAGCAATCATTTTCTACTTAACACCTCTTACTTTTCCTGGACATAAATGAAACAATGCAGTGAAATAACTTAGAAGCAAGCAGAAAAATATAGAGAAGAAAGCTGAAAACTAGTCATTCACGAACAAATATGGCAAAAACGAATACTGTGGTCATCAACCAAAGAAGTCAGCAACATTACTCTATTAGAAAAGCAATTAATTGGTGGAGAAACATGCGGTAATGATTATGCTCTTTCCACATGAACAGAATTGACTGGACCCTCCTTAGTGAGCTCTGGGGTTCATTTAGTATCAGTGATTTAATAATGTCTTGAAGATTCAGAGGAAGACTGTAAAGATTGGAAAGAGGAAGCAAAAAAACTTGAATTACTTAGCCTACAAAAAGGAAATTTAAGCTTAAAGTAATTTCTAAAAGAGATAATAATTTCCAAATAATCTAAAGAGTAGTGTCTAATTCTTTGGGCATTGACCAATAATGAATCAGCAGCCACTTTTCAGTAGTATTATGGTCCTAGCTGACCACTCACTGTATTTATGATGCACTATACTATATACATTTAGCTAAACCTTCAAACAACCCCAATTAGTACAAACCATTATATCCTTTTTATAGGTGAGGAAACGGAAGTTCAGGTGGGCTGGGGAGCTTGTTGAAGTTCAACTGTAGATGACAGAACTAAGAGCTGAACTAAGAGTTTTAACTCTAATATTCTGATCTCCTCCACAGCCTTCAAGAATGGAAATAGCTGATGTTCACAACAGGATGCTTCACAGCAGCTCAGAGAGTAAGAATGAAGTTATCTTTAGTCAGAATAATTAAAATAGGGGGCCTCCCTGGTGGTGCAAGTGGTTAACTCTCAGCACTATGAAGCTATTCTCAGCCACTGCAGCACAAATTCGAACCCCAGCCAGGGAGCTACCCACATGGCACGGTAGACCTCTCCTGTCTCACCCGCTGCTCCCCTCACCAGTGTATTTAAGTTAGTCTGCCTGTTCAGTTCTCCACTCTGTCTCTGGTGAGTTCTCTCACCCTGACCCCATGCCTCTGGCCTGTACCCCACTTCTTGTATGCACCAATAAATCTTATAAAAAGAAAAGTTGGGATTCGATCTCATCTGCTCTGAGGTGTCAGGGAACTAATGTCTTAACCTTCCCAGGTTCTTTTTTTTTTTAAGAATAATTAAAAATACTTTATTAAAAATAAAAACTAACTTCTAGACAGAATAGTAATTTAATTCTGGAACCTTCAAAATATGTGAATAGGTTACTGCAGAATGTTTCCTATTTTTTCCTCATGAAATATTTTGGAAAACAACAAGAAGCAGCAAGTTGGGAAGCAGATACAGTAATAAAAACACACACTGAAGAAGTACTTAATACATTCCAGGCGCCGTTGCTGAGTTTTAGAAATATAAGCTCATTTTATGCTTAACGATAATCAATCATATAAAGTAGAAAATATTATCTTCATTTTTCAAATGAGGAAATAAGAGCCAAAGAAGTTCAATAACTTGCCTGCAGTCACATATCCTAGTAAGAGCTGAGATCTGTGACCAGGTGGCAAATTTTTAGAATCCAAATTCTAGGCCATACTGCCACACCAGCAGCACCAGCTCATCAAGAATCTCAGCTGTCTAGAGATGAGCCAGAGCATGGTCTGAAAGAGGGCAAAGGCTGCTCTCTATGATGCAATGTCTACACTTGACTTCTGACATTTATGACAAAAAGTGTCACCCCAGACCGGCAAACCTGAGATGATAGTCAGATTCTCAGAACTTCCAAATGCTAGTAATGGGCAAATCTTCTTTATTCATGTCTACTCTACAAGCTATCATTGTAAAATGCATTTACTAATCTTTCTGGTGATATATATTTCACTTGTGAACTGGGGTGAAATAAATAGAATGTGAGTTCTGTTTAACAAAACTGACCTAGAAGTCAGGCTCTAAGATTAGTTTTGCTACTTTGGATCCCAATTTTAAGACTTTATATTAAAACTGTAGTTAGTATTGGTATAGATTGTGATCTCCTCAATTTGAAAGTTTCAGGAAGAAACGGGAGAGACAGTTTGTGGCTACAAGACTATACAGGAAACATCTTCTCATAAAATTGTATAGATCTGCATGTAGTCAAAAGACAAAAGAAGATTCATTTTACTGGGAAAAAAAAGCATTTCAGCAAGAATATGAAGAAAAACATAAATATCAAGTCGAATTCAGTGTACTAAGATGCATGAATTTCAAAGTGATAATTCAACAGACAGAAGCTGACATTTGGATAAACAGCGTACATTAACATAAATTTAGTTTTCATATGCAAGTAGAGAATAGGGAAGAGGGGGAAAATTAATTATGCTGCTACAGAAAAATAAGTTATTTTCAATTTAGGTGAACATCAATAAACATCTTTTGAGCTCCAAGTAGGATGTAATATTATTTTGGTTTGATTGTATAAAGAAAGAAAATAACAATGAGCAATAATTTTTTTCAGGGACAGAAAACTCAAGAGAAGTGAAATGGACATTATTTTCTTTTGCCTTGCTTTTGTTTCTGCAATTTAAATTATCTATCTATCTATCTATCTATCTATCTATCTATCTATCTATCTATCTAACCTTAAGTGACAGGAATTTTTTTTAAATTAAGTAAATGCATTTAAATAAGGAAATGCTATTGGAAATATATTCACCAATGGAAAAAAAAATCTAATTTTATGCATTTTACTATTTTCTAGAACTTGTAAAAACTCCTTTCCATATAATTATCAGTATAAATTCATTATTATGTTCAAATATATTTTTTCCTACATTTAATTTTTCTTGAATTAATATAGAGAATAAACAGAGCTTTTAGTTATTTCAGAGTATGATCCAAAATTATTACATACTATAAAATGGAAGGAATAAACTTCTATAGGATAAAGGCCAGTTTTTCAACAAAATTAAAACTTAGAAAATAAGTGTTTTGATTTTAAAAGCAATAATTTTTTAGTATCTTAGGTTAAATGGTGGTGTGGTTTTTTCTTTTATATGCACAAAATGAGAGACTCAGTTTTCATTTCCCTAAAAGTGGAATTAAAAAAAAATATCTATATCACACTATAATACAATCATTACTTCAAAAAAAATTTGTATTGTCAGGCTCCTTGCCCAACAGTATATTTTTTCATTTACTATATAATATATCTCCCTTCCCAATTTTATCGATTTGCCCATCATTTACATAACAATATAATTTTGGGGTACAACTTCACATCTTCATATGCACATGTTTCATTCACCCTCCACCAAAGTTTTAGGCCCAGTGCCCGATCACCCATCCTTTTGCTCTTTCCCATTCTCCATTCCCTAGTAACCAGTACATTTTTCATAGTCAAAGAATTATTTTTGCTGTCCTGCTCACTAGTTATCCATTTATAGTTTTGATGTTTCCCATAATGTAAAAGTTTTTAAAAAGCAATTTTATTATATTGGTTATATTAATGTGATTAGAATTTATTTTTACCTCAAAAATAATATATGCAGATTAAATCAAGACAGTTCATGATACTATCAGGTATTAACTATATCCATTAAATCAGGGATTTCTTCTCTTCACATAGCAACCTTCATCTTTATCTTTATATACGTATTTTCTAAGCAATTTAATCTTGTCAACTGAGGTTAACTTAGAACTCAAGCACAACATTAATGTACATGTGGTGAAAGTCCTAATTATCATAACTCAATCATGTGCATTTGTTACAATATCAGACTTAATGCTTAAAGAGAAGATGATTTAAATAGTTTAAATAGTCAGAAATTTTGTGTTTAAACAAGTGTCAACTTAAAAGACTATACAAACAAATCTAATTCCAAATACACTTCTTTCTGAAACACAAAACCACAGTGACTTCTGACAGCTTAGGTTCAACAAAGAATTTAGGAGAAGTTAGTTCAGGAATGATACCATTTATAACACTGCAAAGGAATAAGAAGTATTACCTATTGGTTTTAATAATTGGTAGGTGATTTACGTTTGTCTAAATACAGTCACTGGAAAAAATAAGTGTCTTATACTCATAAATGTTGATAAAACATTTAATTGTGTAAAATAACTTGATAAAGCAACTTACAGCTTCCATTCCAAAAAGAAAATCTGAAGAGTAGAGCTGCACTAGTAGGTGGTTCTACTGCAGAAATACACAACACTCAGAAACAAGTCCATCACATGCGAGTCAATCTATTTACTAAAAATTCTGGAAGATTCTTCTCTATGGTATACAGATTTTAAATATAGAACACACCATTAACTAACTGATCAGGATGTCTGATCTTGGTCCCCCAAACATTTTCTTTGACGCATTTTCTTAATCTCCATGTAGAATCAAATATTCCCTCCCTCTGTTCTGCATCCACCTTGAATACATTATGTACTCATTTTCTTGTCCATTTCCTTCTACTAGGCTTTGGCCCCTTGATGGCCAGTGTGGTGATCTACAGGTCACTGGGTTTCCATTTTTTAGCACAAAGTTTGGCTTGTAATAGGAACTTGATACATTTTAATTGAGAATATGAAAATTAATTCTTTATACTATATCCCAACTGATATATTTCTGAATATAAAATATAGCTAATCACAAATCTTGACATTAGTCAGCAAATTAGAAACTTACTTATCTGTGGAAGTGACTCTTCATATGATTGGCATGCTTTTTTTTATATACTTGGATACGTCATCCTACATGCCAAACTTGGTTTATGGCCTGTTTCTATAGAACTTGTAAGCTATGAATGGCTTTTACATTTTAAAAAGGTGAAAACATCAAAAGAAGAAAAATATTTTGTGGCATGTAAAAATTTTATGAAATTCAAATTTCAGTGTTCATAGGTCAAACTTTATTTGAATATAGCCAAGTTCATTTGTTTATGCATTGTCTATGGCTACTTTTGTGCAGCAAAGGCAGAGTTGAATAGTTACAACATAGAACATGTGGCTTGCAAAGCCTGAAATGTTTACTATGTGTTCCTTTACAGAAAAATATTGTTGACCATTGACCAATATTCTAAAGTATGCTTATATTTTTAAATTTTTTATTAATATTTCTACATTTAAACATGTGAAAAAATTTGAAAGGAAAAATCCAAGTTCCAGCACAAATCTGCACATACAATTACATGACTAGATTTAAGGCAAAGGTGGGAAGGGATTCAATCAACTATGGTGGAAGAACATAGGTATGTTGGAAGTAGGGTGGTATGGCAACATACATCTGGAGAGGTATGATCCTATATCTCAAATAATATACAGTATTGTAAATCAATGTTATGTCAATAAAAAATATAAAATAAAAATATTTATCTAAGGAAGAATGCAATATATTTAAATGGCACCAACATAGCATGGTAGGAATTAAGGTGATGATATCAAGCTATTCATATTAGTAAAAAACTATATAATTAAAATTAGTATTTTGAAAATTCCAAAGTTAATGGAGTGGTCTTGAAGAAGTTACTAGTTTTTGTTTCTGCTTTTTATTAAATAATTTTACAATACGATCCAATAATAAAACCCAGGATTTAAATAAAAAGTTTACTCTCAATGAAAGAAATTATACTGCAGATGTGTAGTCTATATTATAAACACCCAAATAAAAATGTGATTAAAATTCACATTTTAATGAATTTCATATCAATGCACCAGCCCATATCATTCATAATCAAAGTACACCTAATATTTTGTTACTAAAGTTTGTCTTCCTTGTTCAGTTTACATGTTCAAAATGCAGAAGAATTTATTAGCATACCTAACATGTGATATTTATCATAATGCATGTTTTCATTTTCTCTAAGAAATTGTTGCTTAATTTTGCCGAAATACTAATTAAAGAAAGGGAACTATACTGGTACTTATTGTCAAGCAATTTGCACACATTATCTAATTTAAGACAAAAGTTCTTCCAGGGAAGTGCTATTATCCTCCCTTATAGAAAGGAATGGAAGCTCAGATGGGTCCAGGGTGACAGAGCTACTAACTGCAGTGCTAAGATGCAGACACATGGCCTCCTGGCCAACAAGTCCTTGCCCTTCCTGCATGCGTGCACAGCTCTCAACATGAACACTGAGGTGATGCTAGCACTTGGGAAAATGTGTCAGGCTGAGATTAAAAGTCAGCTATTAAATAGTCATTGTATATAGTCACTATTGTAAAGTCACCTGTGTTACATTAGCACTACTTTAGAACAGAGCAGTCAGAGCGCTACGAAATTTGTTCACATCTTGACTGTTTAAAAATGTTTGAATGTTTGTTAAAGTATGAACAAAATCATAATATTTGTGACATGTGAAAATAATATTAAATTTAAAGTCAGGGTTCAATTTTATTAGAATGTAAGCACAGTCATTTATATGTGTATTTCTGTTACTGCCTTCAAGCTATAATAGCAGAACTGAGTAGATGAGATGGAAACAGAACTGCCACAAAGTTAAAATATGCATTGGTGCTTAAAAGAAAAAGACTCCAAGTCAGAATTAAGAAGAATTAAACTTTGGCAAGAAGTATAAAATATGGAATTGATACCAAAGTTAAAACTGTAAAAATATAAATAACAGACATAATGGAGTGTTCATTTCCTGGTCATGTGTTCTAACTTAATATGAGATACAGCAAGATCCAAGCAAATATCTTTTTGCATATTAAGAATTTAAATTATGAAAGCCTAGATGTAACAGAGATGACAGAGTTTGTACGTGAGCATAATCTGCTTCATCAGCTGATTGGCATGACTGTTGTGCTGATTTAACCACTTAATAAACTGATACGTAGTTAGAAAACCAAGAGATGCACCCACTTGTGCAAAGTTATGAGAAATCTAAGAAAAGAACACTATTGGTCTAAGGAATGTAAGGTTAGAATACTATTTGATAAGAAAAATATAGCCAATTGTTACTAGTAAGCAACTCAAAGGGAACACTCATTTGTCCTTTTACTTTCTAAGTACTGAACTCAGAAAAGGGATGCACACATAAAAATAGCAACAGAAAGCAAACCAGAAGGGCAAATCCACACTCTCAAACGCATGCAGTGTACCAGCATCTCATACTTGTTGCGGAAGAGGGGGTATTGCAACTCAGCAACCAGTCTGCAGTGTTTAAAACAGTCATGTTGTCCCCTGAGAACACGAACAGTATAAGGGTTCATTGTCTGAATGTCTGCTCAGCTCACATGAGTAGTCTTCCATGCTTGCACTGACCTCCTGGTCAAAATTGTAACTGCACTGTAGGACTTTTATATCTTAGTCTATCTGATCTGTTTCAGTTCAGTTAAATATATATTCATGATGATTAGTGAACTTCCAAGTCTGATATCAGGGTCTACGTGTTTTTTTAATGTTACTGTTTGTATCAAATTTCAGGTTTAATATAAATGTTACTCTGGGAGTCATCACTAAACAATCTTATATATTTACAGTCCTGTAATTAATTAGCTGAAATTATAGATGCATGTTTAGAGACAAATAAACATTATAAACAAGGAAAATGTTAATCTACAAAGGTTTTAAGACATTAAATACAGGCAAGTTGCAATGCACACAATTTTATAAGGAAAATTTTAGACTGCATACCTATTCTAAAATAAATGGGAAGAGGTGTATCAATGTTACACATATTTATTGAAAATTTCAAAGAAAATATGATGTGGCAAATGCTTATATCTAGCAATATGATGTGTAAATTAAAAGGTTTCATATAATATTTAATTTATTGACAAAACTATAAAATTTCACAATAATTGGGAATGATTTAAAATGCAGTTTATATATATATATGCATATATATGTGCCTATACATATAATCTGATGCAAAAGTCAGCTCACATTTTCTGACAGATTGAACCATTTTGTAAAAACAAGAGTGAAGAATATTGAAAATTATAATTTTTAATGTTGCCATAACTGTGGCATAATAATGGGCTAATCAAATGAAAAAGTATCTGGAAAAAAATTAAGTTCCTCCTTTAACTACATGTCAGGTATTATTCTCTTTGAAAAGAAAATACAGCAGATATGGATATTTTTCTGTTTCCAACATCACTTTTAAGAAAATTTGGAGATAGCCTTTCTCTGTCAATTCAAAATAAAACAAAAAAGTCATCTAATTTTTAAAGTTAAGAGTCCAAAGCCTTTCATCACTTTGTCTACATTTTTTTTTAAATATACACAAGGACAAATACAAAAAGTTACCCTTACTGAAGGCCTTCAAAAACTTGCTCAGGGCTATCTGTTCTTCCTGAATATTTCCAGCTATAGAGGAGGAGCAAAAGTTTTGAGGAAATCAACTGACCAATAAATAAGCCATTATGAACTATATATTCCTTGGGTATAACTGATTATGTTACTAATATTTATTTATTTATGAGATATTTATTTCTTAGCAGATCCCTAAGTGATAGTAAAACAAACATTGAAATTTGATTCTGGGCATCTTCAGGTGATAGGTACACTTACCTCCTGTCCCATTTGTTGTGACTGATGTGCTGCTGAGATTAGCTTTCTCCAGTTTGGCGCTACCAGGAGTTTCACCACCTCCAACAAGAGGATGAGGACTTGCTAGGTCCTGCATTTCCATAGACCTGTGAGAGCAGAAAGGAGCAAAACAGGTTGAAATTTCTGCAATGATTTCTCAACAAACTACATATATTATTCTAATGAGCATGTATGTGATCTCACAATAAGAACTGTATCCAGTAGCTAAGACTTTTTTTGTTAACCAGGTGAATATGCCAGTCTATCAAAAATTAATAGATAATGCTTCCATAGTAGTTAAGTGTCATAGTTTGCTTATTTGTAATCCCACAACTGTTCTATGAAGTAATATACAGAAAAAAAAGCAGATTCTGTTGTCATGGCAGTTTAAATTGATATGGATACTCTGCCTCTTATTTGATCGTGCTTTTCATTAACAGATATAAATGTTGAAAATATTTAATTGCCCAAAATTAGACATCCACCATAACCAGTGAGAAAGTAATCAGTAGCCAGAAACAGGGTTAACTCAAAGGCAAAGCAGAAGTTTCTAGCTGAACTTCTTGATCCAGAAGGTTGAAACATGAGCCTTAGACTGAGGGTTGAAGTTATTACACCTTTAATATACATTCAAGAATAGAAGACTTTGACTTATGCCTGTTTCAGGGAATGTGTTGGAATTAAGACCCTAAATGAAACTGAGACAATTGAAAGGTTGACCGTCTTTCAAAAAGAGGGTCCAAAGAGGGTACAGTGACCAAAGATCCTTCCCTGAAAGATGAAAAACGCAGAAGGAAAAGAAAAATTTAGATAATTTCTCTCTCAATTTAGGTCATCACCACAACCAAACTACAAAAAATACTTAAGAAAGATCTTCAGCTGAAAGAAAGAAAACCAGATGAAAGCTCAGACATATAAAAGGAATGAACACAGAAATAAAAATATAGAAAAGATAAATTAGGATTATCTTTTTTCTCTTGATTCACAAAAACCAGACCACTGAACAAGACCAACACTGTATTGCTGTATAATACAGCATAGAACTAAAATACATAACAACAGCACAAAGGATAGCTGTAACTAAATTATACTCATTGAACATTCTTTGTTTAACATGAAATATTATTTTATGATCCTAAACTTAGATAAGAAGCAAGTTTAGGATACATAAATTAATACCTATCAATAAATATTATTAAAAATAAAAACAATAAAACTCAATAGTAATTAAAATAAAACATATTTAAAATTTGCGTAACTCAAGTGGCACCAAGAAAACAAAGAAATAACAGATGTGAGAAAAATCACATAGCAAGATGTCACATTCAATTCCAACTATATAAATGATTACACTAAGTATCAGTGGACCAAATACTCTACTGAATATAGACAGATTGTCACATTGGATAAAACAGCCAAGACTAATAGTTGGATGATCACTAGAGACACTAATGGTATTTAAAATGATACTGAGGAATGTTTGAACAATATTATGCCAAATAACTCAATAACTTAGACTAAATCAGCAAGTTTATTGAAAAAAGCATCTTATAAAAACAGCGATTTTCTAAAAAAAAAAAATCTAGCTAGTCCCATTCAGTTCAATTAAAGAAACAGAATTCGTAATGAAACACTTAGAAAGATTCCATGGCTGTATGATTTCATTAGTGAATGCTAGCAAGTAAAATGCTAAAATTCTAGTAAAGAAAATAATCTTTTTTAAGTTCTTTCAGAAAAACATACAAGGGACTCCATTGTATCAGACAAAATTACCCTAATTCAAAACTTACCAAAGATAATTTCAAGAAAAGAAAATTACAGATCTGTTATTTCTCATGAACATAAATGGAAAAAAATTAACAAAATTAAATACAATCCAACAATACGAAGGATAATGTATGGTAACCAAGTGTGCTTTATCCCAGGAATTCAAGATTGAGTTAATATTTGAAAATCAATCATTATAATTCAATATATTTATTGACAGAATATGCTTTCAATGGGTATGGAAAAGTATTTGATAATATTCATCATTCATTCATGATATAATTCTCAGCAAATATAGAAAATAATATTTTCTCCATCTGATAAAGACCATTTTTGAAAAATCTACTATTTACATCATATTAAATGATAAAATATTAATTTATTTCTCCTCAAGATCTGACCCAAGGCAAGGATATTTATTTTCTCCAGCTCAGCACATTTTACTGGCAATCTTGACCATTAATAAATAAAATTAAATAAATAAATAGGAAACATTTAGAAAGGAAAAAAATAATAGTTCATAGACAATATAATTGTTTAGGTGAAGAAAAGTGAAAATCCATAAAAAAAATTACTAGAACTAAGTGAATATACCAGTTAGAGGAACAAAGGCCTAGTCTATACTAAATTGAAACATGAACCAAAACTGTCTTAAATGCCCTTGACTGTCTCTCCATTTCATATATTGAAATCAAGCAGAGGCTATTTAGGAGGTTGGGAATTAGGCTATTCATAGTCTTCATCAAGCTCAGCACAACCCTAAGAGGATTCTGGACATTCAGACCCTCACCTTGCTTTCCAGGCAGAGGAAAATAATTGGACTCTGGAAATAAGCACAAAAAAAAGAATAAACAGAACAAAAGGAAGTGCTTTAATTCTTTTTTTTTTAAAGCTTTATTTATTTATACAAGAACTGGGGTACAGGTCAGATACGCAGGAGGGTGAGAAGATTCACCAGAGATAAAGCAGGGAGCAGAACAGGCAGACTCACTGAAATACACTGCTGAGGGGAGCAGTGGGCGAGGCAGGAGAGGTCTGCTGCACCATGTGGGTTGCTCCATGGCTGGCGGGGATTGAACTGGCACTGCAGAGGTTGCAGACAGCCTCACAGCGCTTCGCTCAACCACCTGTGCCACCAGGGAGGCCCAAGTGCTTTAATTCCTACAGAGGTTTCATACTTCTTGAGTCATAACAAGAAGCACAAAAATATGAGCCTTAGTGAAGAGAAAAAAAGTAATAGAAGCAGACCTAAATATGATGCTGCTTCTAGAATTAGCAGAAAGGATTTAAAAACTACTGTGAATACATGAAATAATTCACAGGGAAAGAAACACATGCACACAAGGCATACAGATATGAATACAGTAGATATGTAACTACATATGTGATATATACACACAAAATACATATATAAAGCATATAAAATACATGTACAGAACATGTACATATATAATACATACAAACATATCTTTATAGTGTGTATAGAAAAGAAATGGAAACTACAAAAGAATCAAATGAAAATTACAGAACGAACATTAAAATATTTTAATAAAAAGTACTCTTTGGAAGGACTTAACAGCAAATGTGAGACACTGAAAAAGAAAGAATTAATAAATCTGAAGCTGGAAGAATATAATTGACCCAAACTAAAGCAGAGAAACAGCAACTGGTAGAAAAAAATGGAATTGACTATAAGTTCCCTGAGGAATATCACCAGAAAGCAAGCTAATGAATGTGTGGTACTTCATGTATATTAGCTATTTTTAATTTCACACTAGCCCAGTGATATGCAGATTATTCTCCACACTTTATAGATGAACAAACTGAGGTCCAAAGAGGATACTTAACATGTTCAAGATGATGAAGGGAGAAAGAAGCACCAGAATTTGAACTATTATCTACCTGACTCTGGAACCTGGATTCTTTCTATCAGACATTGCATGTTTCCTATCTTAAATGTGACTAATTCTTTCATACTATGAAACCGCAACCAGAAATACATATTTCTGCTATAAAACATTTTGAATGGTTTCAAAAATTATACTAAACTCAAAACAAGCATCTGTGTGGCCACATCTATACCATATTTAAAGCTACCATATTTAAGGGTGATCCTTTTTTCCTCCAATGATGTCTATTTCAACTTCTTTTTAGTGGCCCTATGTCATAAGACCACGTGAATACTAGTCTCTGTCTGGACAATATAAAAATGAACTTATCCATAAACACCAAAACCCATTTAAAAAAGAAAAGAAAGATGAATTGTGTCATTTGCAACTTAGTATCCTGATTATCTTGAATTCATCTGTAAACAGAAAGAATTTAATTTCCAATGGACTGATAACATGCTTTTCAAACTCAAGAAAAAAGCAAGCATTAAATCTGTACACTTTAAAATCTACTCTCAGAAACCATGATTTCTCCTGCACAATTCCTGCAATTAGTCATAGTCTGTTTATTTACAAAGTGAGTTTCCATCAGTTCTTCATGACCCAGAAATGCAAGTTGTAAACTTTCAGATACCCACTCTTTGCAAAGCATGGGCATTATGCGTTTGTGGCTTTATGTCCCACATTTTCAGAGTTTATCTCATAAGTCAATTTTCATTTTGACCATCAGAAGGAGTTTAAGAGCAAGATCAGATATTTTTTTTTCTCACCTCTTCCTTTTCTATGTAATATAAACCTTCATTCTTACCTCAAAAATAAGAACAAATTCAACTTCTACTTAGAGAGTAGGCTTCATTTTATTCATTGTTTTTCTTCCTCTATACTTAGAATTGTGCAGGATACTGAATGAATGAATGAATGAATGAGATAATAGGAGTAGAAAAAATGTTGATGAAGTAATTTCAGTTACTTGAAGTCAAATGTAGTTTAGTTCAGCAAACACTGCTTGAGCATCTGCTGTTTTCTAGGGATGGTATTAGGATACAGAAAGTACTCTCAAAGAGCTTGCAGGCTAATGGGAGAGCAAGGGAGGTGGAGGAAAACCAGGATAGTTCTTTGCTGGAATGTGTGTGGCAGTTTTAATATTGTAAATTGTGCAGACCTTCCAAATGAGTGAGTGAGAGAGAGAGAGAGAGAGAGTGTGTGTGTGCGTGTGTGTGTGTTCACATGTACATGCAAAAGGGGGAGGAAAATTCCTTACATGAGCACAAAAGGCAACTGTGGGAGAAAAAATAATAATGAAACAACGTGGTCAACTTAGATCAGATAAAAGTCATGGGCATGACACAACTTAGAACCAGTTTCCAATCTCTTAAAAAAGCACAGTGAGTAACAATGGCAGGCCTTCTTAAAACAGCACATTTTAGATGAGGATCCAAGAAGCCTTTGCA